GTTATCCCTTGGAGGAGGAGAGGCGTTCTGGTTTGGGGTGTTTTCATCCTTTTTATGCTGGTTTCTTCCCATCTTTGTGGATTTATCTCCCTGTGGTCTTTGTAGTTGGTGACTTTTACATGGGGTCTCTGAGTGGATGTCCTGTTTGTTGATGATGAAGTTATTTCTTTCTGTTTCTTAGTTTTCGTTCTAACAGTCAGGCCCCTCTAATGTAGGACTGCTGGAGGTCCACTCCAGATCCTACTTGCCTGGGGATCACCTATAGTGGCTGCAGAACAGTAAGCGTTGCTGGCAGTCTTCTACTTCTATCTTTATCCCAGAAGGATACCTGCCAGATGTCAGTCTGGGCTCTTCTTTAGGAGGTGACTCTTTGGATATAAAGGGGTTGGGGAGCTGCTTGAGGAGACAGCCTGTCCTTTATAGGATCTCAGGTGCTGAGCTGTGAACTCCATTGTTCTGTTCAGAGCTACTCGGTAGGTGTGTTTAAGTCTGCTGCAGCAGAACTCATAACCGCCTTTTTTTCCCAAGTGCTCTGTCCCAGGAAGGTGGGGCTTTATTTATAAGTTTCTGTCATGCCGCTGCCTTTTTTCAGAGATTCCCTGTCCAGTGAGGAGGTAGCTTGGTCACAGTCTGCCAGCAGAGGTGTTGCTGAACTGCTGTGGGCTCTGCCCAGCTGCTATGTGAACCTCCTTGCAGTTTTGTTTACGGGGTATAGTTAGAACTGCTTCAGTAATGGCGGAGTGTCTCTGTAATGGCAGACTGTCTCTGTAATGGCGGGTTGCCTTGGTAATGGCGGGTTGCCTCGGTAATGGCAAACTGCCTCAGTAACGGTGGACTGCCTCAGTGATGGCGGATACCCTTCCTACACAGAGGTGGACCATCCTGGGTCCAGCTGTGCTTGCTGTGAAACTCTCAATCCAGAGCATTTCAGATTGCAGGTCTTTGTGGGGGTGGGACCAGCTGAGCCAGATCCCCTGGCTCCCTGTTTCAGCCCCTTTTTTTTTTTCAGTTGCATGGGTGACTCTGTCTCCCAGGTGTTCCAGCCACCAGTTGTAAAGGTGCCCAGATTTGTGTGAGATTTTGTGCAGAGACTCACTGCGCTGGCTGAAACAGCCACGGTGGGGACTCATGGTGGTTTTCCACCTGGGAATCTCCTGTCCTGGCTCCCCGTTTCAGTCCCCTTTTTTTTCAGTTGCATGGGTGACTGTCTCCCTGGTGTTCCAGTCACCAGTTAAAAGGTGCCTGGACACGTGTGAGTTTTTGTGTGGAGACTCGCGGCGCCAACTGAAATGGCCACCCTGGGGGTGGGTGGCATTTTTCTGCCCGGGAATCTCCTGGTCTGTGGACAGTAAAAATTTGTTTGGAAATGCAGTAATCACTCACCCTCTGCATTTTCACTGGGAACTGCAATCCAGAGCTGTTCCTATTTGGCCATCTTGGATCCCCTCAATGATAGTTTCTTTCGCTGTGTGGAAGCTCTTAAGTTTAATTAGATCACATTTGCCTATTTTGGCTTTTGCTGCCAATGCTTTTGGTGTTTTAGTCATGAAGTCCTTGCCCATACCTATGTCCTGAATGGTAATACCTAGGTTTTCTTCTAGGGCTTTTATGATGTTAGGTTTTTTGTTTTTGTTTTTGTTTTTCAGTGCATTTTTTCAAGGTGCTGTTGAAGATGTTACGTCTTAAATGTTTAAATCTGTAATTCATCTTGAGTTAACCTTTGTATGAGGTGTAAGGAAGGGATCCATTTTTCAGATTTCTGCATATGTCTAGCCAGTTTTCCCAACACCATTTATTAAATAGGGAATCCTTTTCCCATTGCTCGTTTTGTCAGGTTTATCGAAGATCAGATGGTTGTAGATGTGTGGCATTATTTCTAAGGCCTCTGTCTGTTCCATTGGTCTATATCTCTGTTTTGGTACCATTACCATACTGTTTTGATTACTGTAGCCTTCTAGTACAGTTTGAAGCCAGGTACCATGATACTGCCAGCTTTTTTTTTTTTTTTCTCTGCTTAGGATTGTCTTGGCTATGGGGGCTTCCCCCCCCCATAAATTTAAGGTGATTTTTTTCCAATTCTGTGAAGAAAGTCAGTGGTAGCTTGATGGGGATACCATTGAATCTATAAATTACTTTGGGCAGTATGGCCATTTTCACAATATTGATTCTTCCTAACTATAAGCATGGAATATTGTTCCATCTGTTTGTGTCCTCTCTTATTTCCTTGAGCAGTGGCTGGTAGCTCTCCTTGAAGAGGTCCTTCACATCCCTTGTAAGTTGTGTACCTAAGTATTTAATCCTCTTTGTAGCAATTGTGAATGGGAGTTCACTCATGATTTGGCTGTTTGTCTGTTATTGCTGTATAGGAATGCTTGTGATTTTTGCACATTAATTTTGTATCCTGAGACTTTGCCGAAGTTGCTTATCTAAGGAGATTTTGGGTTGAGACAATAGGGTCTTCTAAATATACAGTCATGTCATCTGCAAATGGAGACAAATTGACTTCCTCTTTTCCTAATGGAATACCCTGTATTTCTTTTTCTTGCCTGATTGCCCTGGCCAGAACTTCCAATACTATATTGAATAGTAGGGATGAGAGAGGGCATCCTTGTCTTGTGCTGGTTTTCAAAAGGAATGCTTCTGGTTTTTGCCCATTCAATAGGATATTGGATGTGGGTTTATCATAAATAGCTTTTATTATTTTGAGATACATTCCATCAATACCTAGTTTATTGAGAGTTTTTAGAATAAAGGGCTATTGAATTTTGTCAAAGGCCTTCTCTGCATCTATTGAGATAATCTTGTAGTTTTTGCCTTTGGTTCTGTTTATGTGATGGATTGTGTTTACTGATTTGCATATGTTGAACCAGACTTACATTCCAGGGATGAAGCTGACTTGGTCATGATAGATAAGCTTTTTGATGTGCTGCTGGATTTGGTTTGCCAGTATTTTATTGAGGATTTTCACATCAATGTTCATCATGGATATTGGCCTGAAATTTTTTTTTTAGTTGTGTCTCTGCCAGTTTTGTGTATCAGGATGATGTTGGTCTCATAAAATGAGTTATGGGGGATTTCCTTTTTTTTTGTATTGTTTGGAATAGTTTCAGAAGGAATGGTACCAGCTCCTCTTTTTACCTCTGGTAGAATTCGACTGTGAACATATCTGGTCCTCGACTTTTTTTGGTTTACAGGCTATTAATTGCTGCCTCAACTTCAGACCTTGTTATTGGTCTATTCAAGGATTCAACTTCTTCCTGGTTTAGTCTTGGGAGGGTGTAAGTGTCTGGAATTTATCCACTTTTTCTTGATTTTCTGGTTTATTTCTTACTGCAATTTTTAAATTGGGAAAAAAAAAAGTGGTTCTTTCCTATCTAGATCACCACACCTGAATACTTAAGGTCTCGGTATTCTAACCCACCTTACTGCTTAAGGTGGACTACAATCCACCCCATTCAAAACTCTCCTCTTCTCTCCATCACAGCCATGACCACGCAAGTGGGTCCAAAGGCACCGTGTATTCATTCTTATTTCCTTGGTTTCTCATATGTTATTTGTTTGCTTATTAAGTGTTTATTGATTACCTATAATGTGCTAGGCAGTGGGAATACCACAGTCTCAGACACAGAATGTATCTCCTAGGAGTTTACAGCCTAGTCAGGGATGAAGTCACATAGATAGGTAATTGTAACATAGCACAAAGTGATATGATTAAGGACACAATAGACATCGGAGCATGAGAAATCAATAGGTGAAGTCAAGGAAGGCTTCCTGAAGTAAGGGACCTCTGACTCTGTGCGTGCTGTTACCTTGTTAAATTTGAAAAAAAAGGAGATGTACAGTAATGAATAGGATGATAATACATTCTGAGAAATCAGGTGATTTTGTGAGCATCATAGAGTGTACTGGGAAGTCAAGGCTACAGTGAGCCATGATCTCACCCCTGAACTTCAGCATGGGCAACAAAGTGAGATCCTGTCCTTTTTTTAAAAAAAGCATGTACTTATACAAGCCTAGGTAGTGTAGCCTACTACATAGCAAGGCTATATACTATAGTTCTTCTAGGCTACCAACCTGTACAGCATGTTACTGTCCTGAATATTATAGGTAATTGTAATACAATGATAAGCAGTTGTGTATCTAAACATAAAATGTACAGTAAAAAATATATAAACAATGGGAAAAAAATAAAATATAGGAACCAAACACCTGTGTAGGGAATTTATCATAAATGGAACTTGCAGGACTAGAAGTTGCTCTGGTAAGTCTGTGAGGCATGAAAGAATGTGAAGACCTAGAACATTACTGAACATTACGTAGACTTTATAAATACTGTATACTTAGACAATACAAAGTTTATTTTAGAAGTTTTTCTTTCTTCAGTAATCTTAGCTTATTGTAACTTATTTTAAAACATTTTATTTTTAACTTTTTAACTCTTATAACACTTTGCTTAAAACACATTATAATGCATACATACCTCTGTGTGTGTGTGTGTGTGTGTGTGTGTGTTTGTGTGTGTGTGTGTGTGTGTGTATGTATTGAGATGGAGTTTTTGCTTTTGTTGCCCAGGGTGGAGTGCAATGGCATGATCTTGGCTCACTGCAACCTCTGCCTCCCGGATTCAAATGATTCTCCTGCCTCAGCCACCGGAGTAGCTGGGATTACAGGAGCCTACCACCATACCTAATTTTTTTGTATTTTTAATAGAGATGGGGTTTCACCAGTTGACCAGGCTGGTCTTGAACTCCTGACCTCAGGTGATCCACCTTCATTGGCCTCCCAAAGTGCTGGGATGAACCACCACACCACCCCTGGCCATTTTTTTTAGTATTTCATATATATATATATATATATTTTTTTTTTTTTTTTTTTCTATTACTGTTTAAACTTTTTTGTTAAAACAAAGACATGGACACAAACAAAGACACAACATACACACTAGCCTAGGCCTACACAAGGTCAGGATCATCAATATCACTGTCTTTCACCTCCACATCTTGTCCCGCTAGAAGGTCTTCAAGGACAGTAACACACGTGGAGCTGCCATCTCTTCTAACAACAATGCCTTCTGGAATACCTCTTGAAGGACCTGCCTCAGGCTGTTTTACAGTTAACTTTTTTAAAAGTAAGTAGAAGGCATGTACTCTAAAATAATGAAAAAAAGCATAGTAAATACATAAACAGTAACATAGTCATTTATATCATTATCCAGTATTATGTACTGTACGAAATTACACATGCTATACTTTTATATGACCTGCAGCACAGTAGGTTTGTTTAAACCAGCATCACCACAAACATGGATAATGTGTTGTACAGTGACATGATGACAGTTATGATGTCACTAGGTGTTAGGTATATTCCAGCTCCATTATAACATTACAGGACTACCGCGGCACATGTTTTATACAGAAACAGTGTTAGGCTGTGCATGCTTGTATTACATTTGTAATCACCATCAAGTGTCAGGCAATAGCGGGTGGTAGCTTTCCAAGAGCAGAGTCAGCAGTGGAGGTCATATGGCAGATCACCAGCCACGTATAGGTTTCCTGTCTGGGAACCCTGGCTAAGGATCATCCTTCCTATGATAGAGTCCTATGCTGCTATAATCCAAGCACATCAGACTAAAATGATCATAGTTTTCTTAAAATCTGAAAGAAAGGACGATTTAAGATGAGGGATCAGCATGTACAAGTTGCTTGGTCTGTGGGGTTTTGTTTTGTTTTTTTTTCCTTTTGTTTTGGAGGCTGGAGGTGAGTTCTGGAAATTAAATAGTAAGTTAAAAATGGGAGATATAAAAAGGTCAATGTGTATGTATGGTCCATCTGAGGCAGGCCTAAGATTGCATGAAAAAATTGCACTGAAAAAAAGTTACTGTAGTTAACTGCTACTGTATGTTACTGTAGTTAAAAGATTGCACTGAAAAAATTATTACTGTAGTTATTTGAAGGTCACTGGAATCTTAGAAGAAGGGCTCTGGATTCACTTTCTCACACTGTGGCCTTATTAGTAGAAATTCATAACAAGACCTACCGGGTGCAGTGGCTCATACTGATAATCCCAGCACTCTGGGAGGCCAGTGCAGGTGGATCACATGAGGTCAGGAGTTTGAGACCAGCCTGGCCAACATGGTGAAACCCCATCTCTACTGAAAATACAAAAATTAGTCAGGTGTGGTGGCTAATGTGTGTAGTCCCAGCCACTCAGGATGCTGAGGCAGGAGAATTTCTTGAACCCAGGAGGCAGAGGTTGCCGTGAGCCAAGATCATGCCACTGCACTCCACGGAGCAAGACTCCATCTCAAAAACAAAACAAAAAAACCAACAAAACCTAACAGTATTTACATTACCATCATGTAATTTAGTTTTGCATGTGTTATCCCATTTAATCATCGCAACATACTCATGAGGTAGGTACTATTATTACTCCCATTTTGTAGATAAATAAACTGATGCTTTATTAGGTTACATGTTCGAGGGCATTTTCCTCATCCTTAAAATGGTAATGAGGAGTTATTCTTGTGAGAAGTAGACAGGGAAAACATATGCATAGTACCTAACAGAGCAAATGATTTACACTTGCTGGTTCCTCTCCCTGAGATTATGCCAATGGACCACTTTAGAAATGAACCCAGTCTCTTAATGGTCTCTTTCGGTTACTTAAGTAACCAATATCCTTTGGCTAAAGTTCCATTTGGAAAAACCCCATGGAACTCATATCTTTAATAAACTTAAAATTCTGGTTCCAGCTAACACAAACACCTTGATAATCAAATGGTAATTTATACATTTGATAAATAAATAATGCTAGACTAGCAATGACGATGCAGTCTACCCTTCAAAAGCTGTTGGCTTGACATCCAGTGTAGATCTGGCACTGTCTCAACAGTGCAAGGTTTGGGCTAGAGATCTGGCAAGAATCTCCAGGGATATCAACATCTTTAGCCTAGTGTCTGTGTTGGGGAGTGTCAAAAGATACCATGCATAGACTAGCAAGATAATCAAATAAACACTGAAGAAGAAAGAAAATAGCTCCAAACTAGATTCTGATCAACAACATATTTTTAACAATTAGAATAATGGCTTAAATCTAGCTCTTTGCCCTCTTCTATTCATTAGTGATACTAGTAAAGGAACTACTATCTCTTTGAAGATATCTGTGAAAAGGAGCATACATGCAAATTCAAATCTATGACCATTTATCAATAATCATTCTCTGACACAGACTGTTCTTGAATCAAAAAGCCTATCTGGGAAGATTAAATTTGGGTGAACTCTGGTCTTCTAAATTTGTATCTAACATAGTGAGAAGACAGTAGTAGTGCAGTGGATCCAAAAGAATCTAAACAGGCCAGTTATGGTGGCTCCTGCCTGTAATCTCAGGACTTTGGGAGATCGAGGCAGGAGGATGGCATGAGCCCAGTAGTTTGAGACCAGCCTGGGCAATGTGGTGAAAACCTGTCTCTACAAAAAATATAAAAAATACCCAGGCATAGTGATGTGCACCTGTAGTCGAAGCTACTCGGAAGGCTGAGGTGGAAGGATGACTTGAGCCCATGTGGACGGTGCTACAGTGATCTCTGCAATCCAGCCTGGGTGACAAAATATGATTTTAAGCATCATATTTACTTCTACTTTTTTCTTTTTCTTTTTTCATATCCCCAGAGGTGGTCAGGAATACTTCTACTTTTTAATAATTATTTTTACTTTTTTAGAGATAGGGTCTCTGTCACCCAGACTAGTGTGCATGATTGTAGTTCACTGTAGCCTTGAAATCCTGGACTCAAGCAATCCTCCTGCCTTGGCCTCCCAAAGTGCTGGGATTACAGGTGGAGGCCACCATGCCTGGCCTTTACTTTTACTTACGATTGGCTTTAGTAAAGAAGTATTGTCATGAGCTGCATAACAATGTATCAGTCAGTGATGGACCGCATATGGATGGTGTTTCCCATAAGATTATATTGCTGTATTTTTTCTATGCCTTTTCTATATTTAGATACACAAATGCTTACCATTGTGTTGCAATTGCCTACAGTGTTCAAGACAGACATGTGCTATACAGGTTTGTAGCCTAGGAGCAATAGGCTCTACCTTATAGCCTGAGTACATACCATCTAGGTTTGCATAAAGGCACTCTATGATGTTCACACAATGAAATCTCTTAAGGACACGTTTCTCAGAATGTATTCCTGTTATTAGGGATCACATGGCTGTAAAGATATTAAATTCCTTGGGCATATACTGCTATTTGTTTTAAACAAATAGTTTTATCATGGCAATAGTAACTGTTTTCATAATTTTGAACTCTAAAGTCCCTTGCAAGGGCCCTGGTCTCTCTGGCTATAGAATATATTTTCCTGGCATATTCTTTACTTTTGTTTATATGCTGTAGGAAATGTTAAATGTCTAAATCTAAGTCATAAAATAGCATGTGATCAGTTGTACTCTCAGATACAGATGTTAGGGAAATAAGCAACTAGGCCTGTCTACAAAAGTATTATGCAGACTGTTTTAATCAACAACCAAGTTGATCTCAGGATTATATCCAAGAATAAGAGAATTTTTGGTTTTTAATATTATTTTTAAAAGATTAAGAATTAATTTCACTAATTTCAGGTTTACAGTACAGGTAACAAATTATTTTTGCTTAAAAATGGAAGTGCATCCTATATACCAGGCATTGTATCAGTGAAACAAATTGAGGACATTGTTCCTCGCCTCTGAGAATCTTACCAACAAGTGGGAACTGTAAGAACAAATACATTACAGTAAGATGTGCTATAAAAAATGTTAGAAGATGTTAAAGTAATGTGGGCAATTTTGTAAACCTATTTGTTCCCTCATATTGCAAAAATGAGAAGACTGTGTCTCCTGCATTTTTATTGGCACAATTTTAAATAAAATGGTTGAAACTTTAAAAAAAATGATAGAGATGTTAGGTGAAATATTCTCATGTATGGGCCTTTGTCCAAGCTCTCGCTTTGTATTAGGGGGATATGTACTGCAGGATACTCTTCTACAGATTCTACTCATTGTTTCCTGTAGAATCTCAGCATTTTGGATCAGATGTTTCTTTATTGTGAAGGACTGTTTTATGCATTATAGAATATTTAGCACCATCCCTGGCCTTGCCTTTGAGATGCCAATAGCACTCTCCCCAGTTTTAACAACAGAAAACGTCTTGAGCTATAGCCAAGTACCCCTCTGGGGGTGGGGGAACGTGGCAAACTTGCCTCCCCTTGATGGAGAACCACTGCTCTATGAGGTGTAGTTGCTAATCTGATTACCAACAATCTGACCTTCATGGTGACAATCTTGCCTCTATTAGAACACATTTCACTGGTGGGGCAGTCACCGTGTTAGAGAGCTCTTGACTTCTCTTTTGCTGTTCTGAAGCCTCTTAAGTCACAGAGGCTGATAATATAAATGCCAAAAAGCACTGGGTTTAACCTAACCAGGATCTAAACCCAGCTTCAGCACTTATTAGCTGTATAACCTGGTTAAATTCCTCCCTTTCTCTAAGCCTTGGCTTCTGAAGCTATAAAATGGGAATAATAATAGTACTCATCTGTGGCAGCTGCAGCTCATACCATACTCAGTATCTGTACCACACTTCTTCCAAGTAAACCCTTCGATTTTGTTTGGGTGACAATGTGCCCAGGTTAGAGTAGCCAGACTTAGAAATAAAAATATACGCTGTAAAGTTAAATTGTATTTTAAATAAACTATGAATAATTTTTTAGTAAAAGTGTATCTCATTTACTAAAGATTTATTATTTATTTGAAATTTAAATTTAACTAGGTATTATGTATTTTATCTGATGACTCTAGCTCAGTAAAAATACTTCCCTCCTCCTGCTCCCTTTGCAGCCAAAAAAGGACCCATCACCTGGGTCTGGCCGATGAGATATAAGTATTCTGGGGACACTAATTGTTTTCCTGATAGACTCAGGTCAAACTTGGCTTTTGCTTTTTGCTCTCCTCCTTTTTCCTGCCTGGAGTGTGAGTGTGGTACCCAGGGCTGGAGGAGGTCTTTCCAGCATGAGAGGAGAGCAGAGAGCTCACAGGAGACTGGGTTGCTAACGACTTCCCTGCTGAGCAGTTGTAACTTCTCTTTTCAATAGAAACCTGTATGGTTAGTCACTGTTGTTTGGGTTTTCTGCCACCCGCCTGTGCTGAATATTCTGCTTGCCCCTCCAGATCCAGTTCTGCCTGTGCCCTTTTGCTACATTGCAAGGGAAAGCTGCCTTGAAGCACATCAAAGGGCCATTGCTCTCTGATTTCCAGAGGGGTTAGGTCGATGGGAGGAACTAGCAGGAAATGGGAGAGAGGTTGGAGAATAGATCCCTCTAGCTCCCTCATTCTCAGCTATGGGATAGTAGCTGTATTCCTCTTCCCAAAGCCACACCTTTGGCCAGATGGCCCTCTGCTATAGCTGCAGCTCTTTCCCTGGGCTCCACAGATCTGCCTCCTGCCCTCCGGTCTAGAGGGGTAAGAACCTCTCCATGCCCTAACACCTATGTCATCTAGACAGTTCCCATTATCCCTGACCCCAACTCTACCTTGAAGGTAACACCCATTTCCCAGGGTGATTCTGATTCTTATGCCACCCACACAATTTTTAACTGATGAACTTCCTCATAGGGGTTTTGGGATTACCAAGTAAGATGATGACATCAAGGTTAGCACTGTGCCTTGTGCCTACTGTGTAGTAAACTCTCAAGAAGTGTACTATTATTTGTAAGGAGTTGTGGTAAAATCAGTAAGCTAATTCAAGGCCTCTCTTAGGGCCTGCCCTGCCTTGCTCATTCCTTCCCCCTCCTTTGACTGTTCTCTTCTCTTCCCCATCTCTTCTTCCCCACTTCTCTTTCCTTAACCCCCATCCAACAGACAGATCCCAAATGCTCATGTTCCAGAATGCAGATTCTGTGAGAGAAAGAAGGAGGACTCCCACTTTGTCCTTGAGCCTGAGCCAGATCCAAGGCTTTGCCATAGGGTGCAGTGGTCTCACCTAACAGTGAATAAACTTGCACTTTGCCTTTGGTTTTTGCTGTTGATCTCTGTGTATATGAATATAGGTTTCATCTCAAACACTGACTTGATTGATTATGGCTGCCTACCATGAGGCTCTGTTAAGGATTCTAAGGTTGCTCCTGGACATAGGGAGAGTATTATGATTGATTATTAATGTCTGCCATGAGCATGATGTAAGAGAGTGGTAATAGAAGCGCCAGGTATTTATCATTCCTGATCTGAAACATGAGCCCCAGCCAGTGGTAGTAGTTGTAATTTTCTGCTAGGTCATGCTCTGACATGGCCTTGGCTGGGTATTCAGATGGCTCAGTAGCAGTTGGGTAGTTCCACTGTTTATTTATATTACCTAATGACAAGAACTAATTTTGCACTAATTAAAATTATATTTTAATTTAAATAACCAACTAATAAATTATATATATGTATTTGGCGTCTCAAGAGAAGTGTGACTTTTTTACTTACAATCTAATGCCAAGAAAGATGGAAGATCTATTAGAATAAATGCAAGAGATAGATTTACTTTAAATAAAATATTCGAGTAATTGTTTTTTACATGAAGCTCTGGAATGCTATCTCTTCATTTTTGAAACATACAATTTGGAAGAACGATCACAGTCATAGAAAACATATATGCCATTACACATAAATAGCCTCAAAAATTATTTTAGTAAAAACTACAGCAGAATATCTTCTCCCAAATGACTCCCTACCCTAACATACAAATTCTGTGTCCCCATAGCCTTACCTCTTTCCTTGAGCCTCTCACTTTTATTCCTCTAGTTGCTGGGTGTTTGTTATTATAAAGGCAACATCTGACCCTTTATAATCCCCAGATTGCATTTCAGTGGATTGCGTCGGACAGAGACAGATAAATATTTTTTTTCAATTTTAGAAGGCTCCATCATACCTAGAAGTATTTTTTAAAGGGTGGCCAGTTTCTGTTACATGGAAACGTTTGCTGAGCAAAGTCAGGGAATGTTTGGCAACCGAAGACAATAAGCGATGATTAAATCGATCGCTTAGTGATGTTTATCAGGAAAAAAGCAACAACAGCAGAAATCAGTGGTGTGAAATTTGTTTTGAAGCACTTAGCATGATGCACTCTCATTAATTTAAAAATAGAACCCAGGTAGTATGTTAAATACTTAAGGAATGATGTTTGTCACAGGAAGAGGGAGACAGTGACTTTAAAGAAAAAGATGACGGTGAAGTGGCCACAAATAAATCTCTCATTCTAATTCTCTCAATAGTTTTGTGATTGTTTCTCCTTTCGAGTGGGCTAAATGTCTGACTTTTAGAAGAAAAGAGGTGTTTTCAAATATGAAAGCAGCCTCGATATGTAAACTGACACTCTGGTTGCGTTCCAGGCTGCATACAATTGCAAGGTGATGAGATCGTGTCCTGATGGAGTAGGAGGTGAAATCCCCTTCTGTATGCTCTGTTGCTCAGTAGAAACTGAGAAAAGCCACTGTCTTCAGGGCAGAGAAGGGGACACATGAGTTGCGGCTTGTGTGTTCCTATTGACTTTGTAAATTTATCAAATTATTTTTACTACTCATATCTTCCATTTCTTCCTAAGTGATTAATTAATTCACTTAACCAAAATATTTGATTACTTTCTGTGTACACTGAACAGTGTGAATAAATAAAGAACAGGTATAGCCTTTGTCCTTACAAAGTTTTCTGATGCTTGAGACGTTGACAAATCTTTCGTCAAAAGAATGCTAAAAATAACCAAGTCAACTTTAGATCATTTTACTAATAGTTGTCTTTCATCTATTAGAATGTCATCTTTCTTCCTTTTTATATAACGTAGAAAAGGAAAAAATGTCAACTGAGGACATTACCACTCAGAAAACTAACTACTGGCATATCCCCTGCTAGCTTAGTCTGTTTTGTGCTGTTACAAAAGAATACTTGAGACTGGATAACTTATAAATAGAAATTTATTTGGCTCATGGTTCTGAGGGCTTGGAAGTCCAATCTTGAGAGGCTATATCTGGTGAGGACCTCCTTGTTGCATTATAACATAGCAGAAGGCATCACATGGCAAGAGAAATCAAGAAAGAGCTGAGCTCACTTTGATAACAAACCTACTCTCAAGATGACAAATTCATTCCCATAATAACAACATGAACCCATTCATGAGAGCAGAGCCCTTATGACCCAGTCACCTCTCAAAGGTGCAATTGCTCAACACTGTTACGTGGGGAATTAAGTTTCCAACACATGAACTTTACAGGACACATGCAGATCACAGCACCTATACAGCCTTTACTAAAAATCACTGTCTTCAATCTTCAGTAAGGAGATAATTAGCATTCACAATACGGTAACAGTTAATCTCAAGTGCAAAGGTGGGCACACACAGAAACCATCAAACAGGTAAGAAAACTAACACTTTAAAAGAAAGACAAAATCATGAAATGGAAGAACTAACACATGAGGAAATCTAGTTAACAAGAGAAGTCCTTTTATCTAAGAAATAGTACAGTATGACATGTGTTTTAATAAAGTTAGCATAGGTAATTGAGAGTCTAAAGAGAAAATACCTAACACAGGGAAAGAACACCAAAGTCTTCTTGGAGGAGGTGCTAAAAGCTGCCTTTTGAAATTTAGATTGGGGTCAGCCAGAAAAATATGGCACCAATGATATTCTAGTAGAAATGTATAAACAAGGGAGGGTAAGACAGATAACCTTATAAGAAATATAAAGAGGTCAGGAGTCCTGACCCTGAAATAGTCTAAATTAATAATCATACCTTGCATTTGGATAGTTCTTCACAATTTTATAAGTGCTTTCACAGACACTCTCAGTGGTTCCAACAGCAACCTGTTGGATATATACATTTAACATCATTTAACAGAAGGGAAGCTCCATTTGGAGAGGGTAAGTGATTTGCTTGTGGAATCACATAAGAGACAGGCTTTAGGCTTCTGGTGGCCAACTAAGTGCTTTGTCTACTACTTTATGGCTGCCTCCACTTTGCATTTATTGGCAGAATACAAAGTGCCATGTATTATGGCAGCTAAGCAAGTACAGTACAGAAAGAGAAGGAGATGGAGAAGGCAACTCTTGGGATCCTCTAAAGAAAATGTGACTTGTGGCCAGCCACAGTGACTCACACCTGTAATCCCAGCACTTTGGGAAGCCGAGACCGGTGGATCACTTGAGACGAGGAGTTCGGGACCAGCCTGGCCAAAATGGTGAGAATCCCGTGTCTACTAAAAATATAAAATTAGCCGGGCGTGGTGGTGCATGCCTGTAGTCCCAGCTAATCAGAAGGCTGAGACATAAGAATCACTTGAACCCAAGAGGTGGAGGTTACAGTGAACCAAAATCGTGCCACTGCACTCCAATCTGGGTGACAGACTGAGAGTTCATCTGAAAGTGAGAGACAGAGAGAATGTGACTTTTATCTTTGAGCTTGGAGCTTTCACCTGAGTTCTGGAAAAAAAAAAAGTGCAATGTAAAGGACTTAAACTATTAAATTAATATGGAAAAGTTTGTCAATTTGAACTTAATTTTAGGAAGAGCTTAGGCATGAGATAAAATATTAGATTTTGTTATTTTTTTTTTTAACTTTCATTGTCAAAGTGGTATTTAAACACAGGATTTTAGGAGTATCAGTAATTGGGAAACCATAATGAACTCATGCAGGTTACCCTAATTCTTTTATTATTATTATTATTTTATATATATATATATATTATTGTGTTTTAGGTTCTGGGGTACATGTGAAGAACATGCAGGATTTTCGCATAGGTACATACATGGCCATGTGGTTTCCTGCCTTCCTCCCCATCACCTATATCTGGCATTTCTCCGCATGTTATCCCTCCCCAGTTCCCCACCCCCAGATGTCCCTCCCGTAGTTCCCAACAGAACCTCAGTGTATGATGCTCCCCTCCCTATGTCCAAGTGTTCTCATTGTTCAACACCTGCCTATGAGTGAGAACATGTGGTGTTTGATTTTCTGTTCTTGTGTCAGTTTGCTGAGAATGATGGTTTCCAGATTCATCCATGACTCTATAAAGGACATGAACTCATCGTTTTTTATGGAAGCATAGTATTCCATGGTGTATATGTGCCACATTTTCCCTGTCCAGTCTCTCATAGATGGGCATTTGGGTGGGTTCCAAGTCTTTGCTATTGTAAACAATGCCACAGTGAACATTTGTGTGCATGTGTCTTTATAATAGAATGATTTATATTCCTTTGGATATATACCCAGTAATGGGATTGCTGGGTCAAATAGAATTTTTATTTCTAGGTCCTTGAGGAATTGCCACACTGTCTTCCACAATGATTGAACTAGTTTACACTCCCACCAACAGTGTAAAAGTGTTCCTATTTCTCCACATCCTCTCCAGCATCTGTTGTCTCCAGATTTTTTAATGATCGCCATTCTAAGTGGCGTGAGATGGTATCTCAGTGTAGTTTTGATTTGCATTTCTCTAATGGCCAGTGATGATAAGCATTTTTTTCATATGTTTGTTGGCCTCATGTATGTCTTCTTTTTGTCTGTTCAGATCCTTTGCCCACTTTTTAATGGGCTTGTTTGTTTTTTCTTGTAATCCTGTTTTAGTTGTTTGTAGATTCTGGATATTAGCCCTTTGTCAGATGGGTAGATTGCAAAATTTTTTTCCCATTCTGTTGGTTGCTGATTTAGTCTACTGATTGTTTCTTTTGCTGTGCAGAAGCTCTGGAGTTGATGTTTTACTTTTTATATTGTTACTTTGCTTGTACGCTTTAATGTTTTATAAGCTAGAATTAATGTGTTCAATAATGTGATATGCTGGGGATATTTTTCTACAAAGAGTTGATACGGTGATTATAAACTTAGCATGCATGTAGGAGACATGTTGTATTTTTGTCAATCCAGTAGCCCTTCCTTCTTCTCCTGTGTTGTGTTGATCCCCTGTGTACTCCATTGGGGGTGGGATTAGGTTCAAGAGACTGAAGAAGAGGCCCAATGCCAGCAAAAGAGACATGGGGTTTTATTGAGGGGGTTACATACTGGGGAGCGAGTCCAGTGGTAGTGACTAGACAGGAGGACCACACAGCCCAGTGGCAGCAGACTGGGCAGAATAACCTCAACCACTTACAAAAGCAAGCAGTTTATATATTTGTACTTAGCACCCTTTCCCTAGCAACCTTCATCTCTGTAAGGCATGTAGAAGTCACCCTCCAATTACTTCCTGCTAACTAGATTTCTGGAGCCCTGTGTGTTCTACCACCAAAATATGTCCAGAAACAATCCTCTTCTCACCTTTGCTGTTGTGACCTCTCTAGTCCATGTTGCCACCTTCTGTTGTCTGGATTTCCACAGTAACTTCCTAAATGTCTCCCTCCTTCTACTTCTATCCTCACAAAATCCATTCTCTTCTTGCCGTCACAGGGATTCTTTTAAAAACCTGAATCAGCCAGGCATGGTGGTACACACCTGTGTTCCCAGCTACACAGGAGGCTGAGGCAGGAGGATCACTTGAGCATGGGAGGTCAAGGCTGTAATGAGCCATGTTTACACCAGCACAACTACAGCCTGAGTGACAGAGTGTAAGACCCTGTCTCAAAAAATAAATTAATAACTAACTTAAAAATTCATTTCATTCCCATGAAATTGTCTTGCAGTAGCTCTCCGTTGATTTAGAATAGAATATAAACCACTTTATCATGTTCCACAAGGCTTTACATTAGACATTGCCATTGCCTACCTTCCCAAACCTACCACATATCACCCTAAACCTTATTCGTGAACCCCCAATCACAATAGAAAGAGGGAAGAGACAGAGAAGGGAGAGGGAAGAATAATCATCTTGAGACACTTCAAATTATTTCAATAACAACCTTAGTAAATGAAA